GCTAATTTTTCGTCCAAATTTAACCAAAATTTAATCAATGTGTCCATGGATAGTGTCCATTAGAGCCAATTTAAAATGTTTAAATTCAGTTAATGAGACAACATGTTGAAAACAAGTGTTTTCCAAGCTTATCCTCATTGACGCATGCATGACAAAGGTGCAAGTCGACATTTCCGTGTATTGTTGGTGGGTCAAAGGTTATTTTCTTGAAGCAGCACTGTGTTCACGTGAATATTTATGAAAGAAACGCTTTTAGTCAATGAAAAGCTTTTACGTATCCCAACTAAAACCAATAGCCAATCGCAAAGCAATTAGGAGCATAAGTTATGCATCACGCGCAATTTTTTGGCATTATTTGCTCAAAACGTTTGAAAGATTTACCTTCGAGCTCCATGTTACAAAGTTTTACTTTTGGAGAAGATATTTCGTGGATATAAAACAACGGTCAGTAACACAGTATCATTCAGTGAGACGCAGTTTATTCAAATATAGCTCTGCCGCGGGCAATCGCTTTTACTCTTCTGGTGGACGAAAGAATACGTTGGCTCAAGTATTGACGTATAATTCAGTGAGACGCAGTTTATCAGCAAAATATAACTCTGCCGCGGGCAAGCGCTTTTACTCTTCTGGTGGACAAAAGAATACTAACGTTGGCTCAAGTATTGATGTATGATTCAGTGAGACGATGTTTATTCAAATATAACTCTGCTGCGGGCAAGCGCTTTTACTCTTCTGGTGGACAAAGGAACACGTTGGCTCAAGTATCGATGTGTGATTCAGTGAGACGCAGTCTATTCAAGTATAACTGACCGTGGTCAAGCGCGTTTACCCTTCTGGTGGACAAAGGAATACGTTGGCTCAACCGATGAAGTTAAATAAAACCGCCGCTGGGGGAATTATAACAAGATCGAGAGGCTAAACACGAATTCAACAAGCGTCATTTGATATCATTCATATATCAAATATGTATTTATGTATGCACAAGCATTTGGTGTGTAAATATGCGGTTAATTCACACGTTTGCTTCGTAGTTCGCTTTTCAAAACAAACAAAATGCTTTAACTTCATCTATTTTATCACATAATTCGGGAATAGTAACTGTCGAACGCCAAATCATGTATCGACTATTCACGCTAAATCGATCTGTATTTCAATGTCAATTTTATTACCATCTTGAGTTTTTTCTATTAACCGTAGTTTTTTAACCGGCCAGATTGGGCCTCTGATTCGGGGATTGGGTTTCAATAAAGCGTCACATTAAACTGTATTCAATAATTCAAAAGTAGATTATAAAAACTTCCTTTCTAGCTATATCAGGGCACTCTTTAATTAATAAAACAAACACATGACTAGTACATTATCTATACCTTACTGGAGAAAACATAGGAAATCAAGTTCATGTGTGAGAGAAATTTAGGATCCATTTTATTTACATTTGCGTTAAATCGGCAAGTTGGATGTCATGAAAGATTGGTACGTACAGTGTATGGTATGTCGCTAATCGTAAAAATTCATTAATGTCGTGTCACTATACTGCATGATCTTTTTAGTCTACCAAATACATATTCTTACAATTTCTGCTACTCTCATGCATGCATGATGGCATGTTCAATTACAACACTGTGGTTATAAACACCTAAATTGCATTTTGATCCTGCTATTTTTAAATATTGAACAAGCTATTTTTCTGAGATTAAAGTCCCTATTTTTCTGAGATAATTTGAGACCCGAATTCATGACAGTGGAAATCAAAGTCTCCAAAACAGACCCATTCCGCTTGGGTCAAACAATCACAGTTGGCGCGTCCAACTCGCCCCTACAGTATGTCTTGTTTTGGCAATGAAGAAGTACTTCTTCATTAGAAAAACACCGGGTGGTCCACTCTTTGTTCACGTTTCTGGAAAACCTCTTACCAAACAAACTTTAACGGCTGAGACTCGGATTTTATTAACAAGCAGGTTTTAATGCGTCACACTATGCTGGTCATAGCTACCGAATTGGGGCCGCTACAACTGCAGCTTCAGCTCATTTGCCTGCATGGCTCATTAAAACTCTAGGACGATAGTCTTCCGATTGCTATTTACGATACATTCGTATTTCATATTTTACCCAGTCAAAGGTATCTGCCACCATGACTGCATCATTTAATTAAAAAAAATAATTAAAAAAAAAGGGGGGATGGGCATTTTCGTCTATGGGGAACACTCTATCGTGTGTTTTGGGGAAGAAGTATTCCAATATGTCAATTTCATTTCCCATAGACTCTAGTAACGTTTCATATAAATATATATTTCAAATAATAGGGACTGTCTAAGCGGTTCTGTGGACCTTAGACAGGTTAGGGACTGCCCAAGCGGGCAGGTTAGGGACTGTCCAAGTGTGCTCTTGGTAAGTACATTAGGGGGTCGCTACTCCTGACTAGCATTATCAGTTTAGTACAGTATTAGGTATGTGACGATGAAGAGGGATGTCGTTTGGCATAAACACAGAGTACTTCTCCCCAAAACACCACTTCTCCCACAAAACCAAAACGTGTGTTTTTTATTGTGTTAATTGCAGTTTATATTCAATGATTCATTCTTTGGATCATTAAAGCCAATTTAAAATGTTTAAATTCAGTTAATGAGACAACATGTTGAAAGCAAGTGTTTTCCAAGCTTATCCTCATTGACGCATGCATGACAAAAGTGCAAGTCGACATTTCCGTGTATTGTTGATGGGTCAAAGGTTATTTTCTTGAAGCAGCACTGTGTTCACGTGAATATTTATGAAAGAAACGCTTTTAGCCAATGAAAAGCATTTACGTATCCCAACTAAAACCAATAGCAAATCGCAAAACAAGTAGGAGCATAAGTATGCATCACGCGCAATTTTTTGGCATTATTTGCTCAAAGCTTTTGAAGGATTTACCTTCCAGCTCCATGTTACAAAGTTTAAATCCCACCCACCCCATCTTACTTGTACTTTAGTTACCGCATTTGCTTCCAACACCTTGTCCACGTAGTAGTTGGAAGGAATCTCATTATTAAAGGATCTCATTATAATTAGCACATTATAAACAAACAATGGCTTCCTGCTGTAAAGCTTTCCAAAATGAAAGACTATAAGAGGTGAGTAGTATAGGGAAGGGGGGTTCTGCGTCGGGTGGTGCGGGTGGTGCAGTGAAGAACCACCCATGACGTCATCACAGTATCATTTCATATCGATTACACACGCTTATAATGTAATGAAAGCGGTAATGATTATAATTGCATTACGTTTTAGCAACAGTTTAACCGTTTACTATTTTACTCTTGTAGTTCTCGCGCTTATAGCATCATTCTCATATATTCAGTACTTTATTCATTAACGTGGTAGTTTCATAATTAATCGAATAATAATTGAAAACAGAACAACTCAGGTTTAACCATAATTTTGAGGGGAGGGAATAAACCTTGGCGGTTTTTATATATTAACAGTTGTTAAAAATGGCTCGGAGGGCCTTTTTTATGGCCTAATGGTCCGTTTCTCTAAGTACGTCCGCTATCCTCAGGAGCCCCACCCTCCCAACTATGACTACACCCTCAATCATGAACCGTACTCATCACAGCTCAGTTTTTTCAAAATTCACCCAAGAAAATATAAAGGACAATAGAAATTGAGTATAAAAAGTGTATTTGAATCATCACATTACAAAGCTTTATTACATCATCTTAAAATGTCTTTAAACACCATATGTGAGATTTGTTACATAACTTATTTGCTAATTTTATAATGCCCATGAGCTAATGTGTTAACACCGTCTTCTAAAATGAAACGTTTATCATCATATGGACTTAAAGCAATCTTATTTAACTTAATGGAGTAGATTGCATGACCATAACTGCGAATCTGATTCATGGAAGTTTTTGTCTGCTTCTTATCGAATAAGCAGGTTTTATAATTATCAATTTTTGATAATTTAGAAGGAAATCGTCGCTGAAAATCCACTTTTTGCAGTTAACTCCCTAATAACTCTATATAAAATCCTCCATTTTTACTTGCTGGGAAGATGGCGGCCGGGATGCGCGAGGCGACCTGCGCGGCGCCATTTACATCAAAAGTTCCGACTTGAGTGGCACTTCTATTCATTTCTTATTCTATGACTCAGTGAACTCACAAAATAGAAGTTTTCTTAGAGCTGTGAACTGTGAATTTGAGCGGGTTAGTTGCATTTGAAACTATGCTTTCATAGTCTAAACGTTTTGAAAAGGATAAACGTCTGTTGTAAAAAGGACGGTACGAGTCTTCACCAACTGCAAACGGGAAGTTTTCCCCACGGGTTGGAAAGGTTATGACAATTTTTGAGTAATTGTGATGTTTTAAAGTTAGTGTGATACCTTAAATTAATTATTTATAGAAATTTATACTGCGTATGGTATCATCATTAGGTCCCACAAGCAAAATAGCGTAGTTCAATATATACAGAGAATTTATCGGGGGTAAAATACTGCATTTACTTCGTTTATAAGTTAACAAATCCTGGTGGCGAGTTACTTACTGAGACCTTAAACTGTGTTTCAAAGTTTAAACCTTTTGTAAAAAAGGATGGTCCGAGTCTTAAACAACTGCAAACGGGGAGATTTTATCACGGGTTGGAAAGGTTTTAAAACTATGAGTACTTAGTTTCGTATTATATTTTGACAATGCAGAGAACAACGATAATTTTCTTAGGCTTAGCGGAATTTAGCGGATTTGGATTCATGCAGCTTCAAAGGGATCAACTGGAAATCTTGACATTTAAAATATTATGATGACTTTATACATGTGCATTCTTGTTTAGCCTTCGTTGGACACTTTATAACTATACTTGTATTTATCATCCTAGGATGGCGTATGTCTGTAGTACTTGTTCAAAGAGTTTCACTCAAATGCGGAGTTTAACTCGTTATAGGAGAGCTACTCATTTGGGTAAGACATTCAAGTGTCAAGAGTGCGATAAGTCATTTACAAGAATAGATGCCCTCATTCGTCATGGTTAGCAACATCGGCAGTTGGTCACCCACAAATGCGATAAGTGCCTGAAAGAGTTTTATCGTCGTGATAAGTTGGTCGAACATAGAGTGGTATGTGACGAAAACACCTCGAAGAGGAAATTTGATTATGCAGTTCACACTACTTCTAAGGCTAAACGGAGTAAAGTTGATGAGACAGATCACTCCTCCAATGAAATTGGCTATAGGCATGGTGATGACGATCCGTGTAATCATACATCTGCTTTCGAGGAAAGTTTGAAGAAAATTAAACTGAAACAGCGAAAGGATCAAAAGCATGATATGTCCCAATTTCTGCGTGTTAAATCCAAACCGATGCTTATTCATCTGTCGAAAGAGCTGGAAGTGAAGAAAGGATTGAAATGGTTCATCAGTGTGAAAGCGAGATTTCTCAAACCCAAAAGTAGACGGTGAAGATCTATTCAGTAAACCGCATTTCCGCAGTCTGTGTACTACAACGGTTAATGTTCACGATATGGAGAAACAACTACAAGAAGCTCGCAGTAAAATTATCGATTCCTTGGCGATATATCAGAAAGAAGCAAGCGGTTGGGTGTTGGACGAAATACTTCATTTAGACCTGAACATGGCCAAATATACTCCACTGAAAGGTTCCAGTTACATTCCTCTACCGAAAAAGTTGAAGACCAAGAAAGCCATCATTAACGTCAAGAATTCCGACAATAAGTGCTTTATGTGGTCAATCTTTGCTGCTCTACATCCTGTTGAGCACACAAGAAACCCCCAAAAATCCATCACTGTCGGAATTATCAGGACGAACTAAACTTTGAGGATATTGAATTCCCTATCACAATTGATAAGATTGGAAAATTTGAACGTCAAAATAACATCTCCGTAAACGTGTTTGGTTACGAAGATGTACTCTTTCCCATTTATATCACACCATTTATTTGACAACCACGTAAATCTATTGTTATTCTCCCAGGAAAGAACCAGGCATTACTGTCTCATCAAAGATTTGAATAAATTCCTGTACAGTCAAAACCGGAAAAAGGCTCGAATGTTTTACTGTCGTCACTGTCTACATGGATTTATCCGAGAAGACCTTCTACAAGAGCATGCCGCATTGTTGTCAGCATGGAGCCCAGCGCATTGAATTACCGAATGAAGACAATGCTTTACTTTATTTCAAAGATTATCACAAACAACTCAAGGTACCATTTGTGATTTACGCTGACTTTGAAAGCGTCACAACCAAGATCGATTCAGCAACTCCCGATCTAACTAAATCATCTACCGAGAATTACCAGCACCACTAACCTTGTGGATTTTCCTACATTGTCGTGTCACAAGCAGAAAAATACAACAAACCTCCTATCGTTTACCGTGGTGAGGATGCTGTGGATAAGTTTCTCGAATGTTTAGAGACAGAACAGCAATACATCGAAGAAAAACTTAGTTTCATCGAGCCGATGCGCATTGAGAACGAGGAAGAACAGATGTTTGAAAACGCCATTAATTGTCATATCTGTGGTTTTGAAATGGGCGCCGACCGAGTTCGCGATTATTGCCATCTCACAGGAAAGTATCGTGCAGCCGCACACAACGAATGTAACTTAAACTATAGTTTTACTGGACGCATTCCTGTCATTCTGCATAATCTTCGTGGTAATGACTCCCACCTGATTATGCAAGGTCTTGGAAAGCTAAAGAATAAGGAAATCAACTGCATCCCCAACAATATTGACTCACTTCAGTTTATGAACGCTTCTCTCGAACGGTTGGCGTTTAATCTTTCAAAGAGTGACGCAGATATGTTTCCAATCCTCCAGAGATATGTTGAATCTGAGAAAGTGCCCTTGCTTCTGAGGAAAGGCGTATATCCGTATGACTACATGGATAGTGTGGAAAAGTTTGATAAAGAAACTCTGCCTCCTCAAGAATGCTTCTACAGTGTTCTAAATGACGAACACATTGCCGATGCTGACTACAACCACCCTACTCGCGTCTTTGAGGCTTTCAGTTGCCAAAGTTTGGGAGACTATCATGATTTGTACTTAAAATCGGACGTTCTGCTCCTTGCGGATGTATTTGAAAACTTCCGAAACGTCTGTTTAAAAGCATACAATCTAAATCCTTGTCACTTTTACACAATTCCTGCATTGGCGTGGCAAGCTTGTTTAAAAATGACAGAAGTGGAACTAGAGTTATTGACTGATCCAGATGTGTATTTATTCATCAAAGAAGGGCTTCGTGGTGGAATATCCATGATAAGTAACCGTTTCAGTAAGGCGAACAATCCGTACGTCCCCGACTACGACCCTGATCAAGACTCATCTTACGTGATGTATCTCGACGCTAATAATCTTTATGGTTGGGCTATGTCACAACCTCTACCAACTGCTGAATTCGATTGGTTAAATGAAGAAGAGATCTCCAACCTTGACATCACACAAATTTCCGATGATTCCAAAGAAGGTTAAATTCTCGAAGTTGATTTAAAGTATCCTAAGGAGTTACATGATCTACATAATGACTATCCGTTGGCTCCTGAAAAGATGAAGATTTCTCCTGAAATGCTATCACCCTATTGCAAACAGCTCTCGGATGATTTAAAGCTCGGAAGTGTCGCAGTTCCCAAACTAGTACCCAACCTCAACGATAAGACCAAATATATTGTTCACTGTCGTAATCTGAAGTTATATCTGAGGCTGGGAATGGAGCTGACAGAAATTCATAGAGTCTTGGTGTTTCAACAAAGTCCATGGCTTAAAGCCTACATAGATTTCAACACAGAAATAAGAAAGCACGCCCTGAATGACTTTGAGAAAGGTTTTTACAAGCTGATGAATAATGCGGTGTTTGGAAAGACCATGGAGAATCTGAGAAAGCGAGTCAATGTCAAGTTGGTTAATGATAAGACAAAGCTGACAAAACTAACTGCTCGTCCATCGTTTGACTCTTTCCGCATCTTTTCTGAGGATCTCGCTGCTGTGAATATGAAGAAGACAAAACTCTACTTAAATCGTCCAATTTATGTGGGATTTACAATTCTGGATCTCTCAAAGGTGTTGATGTACCAGTTTCACTACGAATATATGAAACAGAAGTATGGTGCTAACGCTGTGCTGCTTTTCACGGATACGGACAGTCTATGTTATGAAGTGAAGACCCGTGACATCTACCAAGACATGCTGGAAGACGCAGAGCTACTTGACACATCCGAATACGCACAAGACCATCTTTTGTATAGTACACGAAACAGGAAAGTTCTCGGTAAAATTAAAGATGAGACGCATGGAATTCCAATTCAAGGATTTGTTGGTTTGAGACCAAAGATGTACTCCATCTTATACACCGAGAACAGTAAGCTTGTAGAGAAGAAGACAGCTAAAGGAATAAAGAATTCGGTGACAAAAAAGAAGATAAGACATGATAATTATAAAACCTGCTTATTTGATAAGAAGCAGACAAAAACTTCCATGAATCAGATTCGCAGTTATGGTCATGAAATCTACTCCATTAAGTTAAATAAGATTGCTTTAAGTCCATATGATGATAAACGTTTAATTTTAGAATACGGTGTTAACACATTAGCTCATGGGCATTATAAAATTAGCAAATAAGTTATGTAACAAATCTCACATATGGTATTTAAAGACATTTTAAGATGATGTAATAAAGACTTTATATATTTAACTTCATATACTTTATTTCATATAATATTACTTCAAGTTTGACTTCAAGTTCTTCACGATTTTCATAAATAACTAACTATAGTTCGCTTAGCAAAGTCCGTATTTATAGTTGCATAACACCCACACATTAGCACACTATTTACATATATACAAAATCATTCAATCGTATAAACATGCTCCCCGCCCAGTCCAGAGGCGGAGCAGTCTGGACGACTACAAAATAAGTTAATGTTCTATAGAAATTAATGTTCTCTTAATAAGAGTATAAGTTTAGTCACAGGTCTGTGTAATACTCCATTCTGAGTTAAGACTTTGGCTGATCGCACAACGTTTCGGTCGTCTGGAAATGTTTCTTCAATTTTGCCCCTTAGCCACCGTCCTCTTGGCTGATTTGGGTCCAATATTAACACTAAGTCACCAGGTTCCAAATTTCGTACTGTTTGATTCCATTTTGGCCGTCGTTGAAGGCAAGGCAGATATTCTTTCTGCCACCTTTTCCAAATCTTTGACATGATGGACTGTAGAAAAAGCCAACGCCGTTTTGGTGAGACTTCATCAACTTGGATTTCGCTCGGCAGCAATGGCATTAACTGTCCTGCAGTTAAGAAATGCGCGGGGGTCAGAGGCTCTACGTCATCTGGATCACTTCCTACATACGTCAACGGACGATTATTCAACATGGCTTCGCATTCAGCTGCAACGGTGGAAAGTTCATCATCTGTGAGTTGAGCTCCGTTTGTTGTAGCTGTTATCGCACGTTTTGCCAGTTTTACCATGGCTTCCCAGGCTCCTCCCATGTGAGGAGCAAAAGGAGGATTGAAATTCCAATCCAAGCCTTCTTGTTGTAGCTTCGTCTTTAGAACGACATCATTGCATAATTCTTTTACTAACTGGCGCATTTCTCTCTCTGCTCCAACGAAATTGGTCCCCTGGTCTGAAAACATCCTTTTCGGTTTCGATCTTCTGGCGACAAATCGAGAAAAAACCTTCAAGAAATCATCAGTTGATAGGGATTGGGCAACTTCAAGGTGAACAGCGCGTGTTTGTAGACATGTAAACACGACTCCGTATCTCTTTTCTCGTCGACCTTCTCTAAAGCCAGCTTTGGTGGTTATAGGCCCAAAATAATCAACGCCTGTCAAGGTAAATGGTGGGTTTGGGAAGTCAACTCTCGATGCAGGAAGATCAGCCATGAATTGAACACCAGGATTACCACGCCATTTCTTGCATAAGACACAGCTCGATAAGATCTTCTTCACTTGTTCCCTTCCTCTTATTGGCCAATACCGCTGCCTCAGGTTACAGAGTACTGTGTTTACTCCAAAATGCTTCACCTCTTCGTGAGACCTTCTGATTAGAAGAGCAGCTAGATGTGATCCTTTTCCCAAAATAATCGGATGTCGACAATCATATGAAAGAGGTGATCTCTCAAGACGTCCACCCAAACGTACCAGACCTTCATCGTCCATGAACGGAGAAAGAGAATATAACGGAGACGATTTTGGGACCAACATCTTCCTTGTCTTCGTTTTTCCCAAGCCAGTTTGCTGTTTTTCAAGGACAGTAATTTCCTTCGCGAAACATATGCTTTGGTCTCGTCTCAAAAGCCAAATTTCTGCTTCTCGAAGTTCGTCCGCGCTTAATGGTTCTATAGGATGCTGGATGTCTTTCTTTTTCATTGCACTTCTGGTCGTAGGCTTCGTGAGACGTTTTGATTTCTTCAATCGCCAATTGCGGAAAGGACGTCGAAGGAAGGCAACTCTTTTTCTCAACTTGTGAAATGTTGAGAAATCTTCAACTTTCAAGAATTCTTCTCCTACGAAACTCTGGACATGACAATGCCGTGTGACTTTCTTCTTCTCAGCTTCAATCAGCTTCTCGTCTGGTTTCAACGAACTTTCAGTGTATTCATCTGAACGAAGGAAACCAGGACCAGAAAACCATATATTATCTGGTTTCAAAAGCTCTCGTAAGTCAACGCCTCTCGATGCTAAGTCCGCTGGATTATCTTGGCCCGATACGTGATGCCACTGACATCCTTCAGTTTTCTCTTGAATGGTCGCTACTCGATTGGCCACGAACTCCTTCAGGACACGGCTTTCCATCTTTATCCATGATAAAGCCACAGTGCTGTCTGACCAGAAAACTACTTTGACAGTCTTAAATTCCATTTGCTTCACGATAAATTCTGCCAAACGTACTGCCATCAGACAAGCTTGTAGTTCCAACCGTGGAACTGACATTTTCTTTAAAGGGGCCACTTGCGTCTTGTTCATCAACAGAGACACTTTCACTTCATTCTTTCGCTGACATTTAAGATATGCAACGGCTGCCATGGCTCTCTGCGATGCATCAGCGAACAAGTGAAGTTCCATATCAACTTTTTCTAGTTCTGCCCAAACGTGGCGTGGAATTGTAATCTTGGATAAATCAACAAATTGATTAAACTAGATCAACCAGGATCCCATAATATCAAGTTCAAGTGGATCGTCCCAAGCTCTCCCTCTTCTCCATAACTCCTGCATCAAGATATTACCACGAACTACAAAGGCTGCTAACAATCCCATGGGGTCAAATAGTTGCGCCAACCTTCTTAGGACTCCTCGTTTAGTCCACACTATATCTTCTATGACGGGATAAAATCGGATTTGATCGGTGGATGGATCCCACGTCATTCCAAGGACTCTCTCGTTGGTTTGATCTAATGGAAGAGGGCCATTCTTGATACGGTCAGGAACACCTTCAAGAACGCACGGTTGATTGGATATCCAATTACGCATCTTCATTCCACCCTCGTCCAACATTTCGCACACGTCGGTTACGGTTTTCTTTGCATCAAGACTAGTCTTGCAACTGTGAATCAGATCGCCCATATAGAGGTCCTTGTCTAGAGCTTCACAGGCCTTTGCTTTGTTTGTTCCATAGTCTTTAACAATTCGCTTGATGACGTAACTCGCTAAAAACGGCGAGGCGGGATTTCCAAAGATGATACAATTAAACTGGTAAGTATCTGGTAATTGGTCTTCGTTCGTTCGCCAAAGAAATCTGTGATACTTGCAGTCGTCAGGGAAAAGCAGAACTCTTGGAACATCTTTGAGATATCTCCTGCGATGCCGATTTTGAAACGTCGGAAACGTAATAATATGCCCGTCAGGTCATTCAATAAACACGGTCCCTTTTCGACCAAATCGTTGAGCGAGATTCCATCATTTTTGGCGGAAGGTCAAATACGATCCTTAACTTGGTATTCTTGTCTTCGGAAATAACTGGGTGATGCGGAAGGTACCAACCCGTATCAGAGGGCTTCTCGGGTAACTTTTCCAAATAACCATCGGCCACGTAATCTTCAATAACTTTGCCGTATTTTTCCTTTAGAGACGGTTGTTTTCTCATTCTTCGTTCGATTGATTCTAGCCTCTGTAACGCTACATCATAGGAATCGGGAATCTGCTTTGTACTATCTTTCCACGGAAGCTTGACTTGATACCGCCCGTTCACCCGACAAATTGTTCGTTCCGTTTCTTCAAGAATCTTTTGCTCTTTATTAGTGTATAAGGATGGTTCTTTTACTGGCATTTGTTCGATCTCCCAGAAACGTTTGAGATTGAAATCATCCACTGAAGTCGTCGTCGGTGAACAGGATGAAATGAGATGTGTTGATGGATCTTCTCCGACTCTTTCGTCAACAGGTCCACAGATGCTCCAACCTAACACAGTTCGTACGGCGTAAGGTTCATCAGGCTTTCCATAACGAGTTTCCAACTGCCTCAGAAGGATAGGATAATCTTGACCAACTAACAAATCAACGCTTTCTGTGTCCACAATCACGTCGACGTCTTGCAGATAAGGAAATTTTTGCTTGATTTCTTCAATATCAAAGGGGGGTGAATAATTGCTAATTTTTGGAATAGCATACGCGGTCATTGGGATAGACAGTTCATTGTCTTTGGCTTGTATAAGAAATGAAACTTCAGAATTGAGTTTGATGTTTTGATCCCCAACCCCCGAGAGTGTCAATCGATTGCTTCTTCTCGTTGTCAACCCAAGGCTTTCGACCAGACGATGAGTTATCAACGTCACCTGGCTCCCGCTGTCATCCAAGCAATTTATCGTAACTCGTTGACCATAACCATTTAGGATATCGATCTTCTTTACAGGAAGGGCCACAATTTTCCTTTTTAGACAACTCCGATTAGCGTTCGACGTAACCGACAAGGTTTCCTTCGTTGGTGTCTCTTCATTTCTTGCAAGTTGTTCACCACCTGACGTCTCGCTGCTTTTCCTCTCGACATTGTGAGTAGATATTGCAGGATTTTTAGGGTTTTCTTGGTGCAATAAGGTGTGATGTGTTCCCTTACAGTTTTCTATAAGGCATCCCACTTTTCTTCTACATTTCGCCACGAGATGCCCTCGAAGCAAGCATTTGAAACAGGCTCCATTCTGTTTCACTAACTGTTTTCTTTCATATACCGTCATTTTCTTCAAGACCAAACACTGATCCGGCCAGTGGTTACCATCACGACAAACCCAACACTTTCCTCTTTCAATCGGTAATTTTGTTTCTGTTCTTTCAGTTTGGGTGACTTCATCTC